CCCCCCCCCGCCCCGATTTCCATTCTCTTCACAGAACGAGTTTTCCAAGAGCAGCAGGCTCTGGAAGTTTGGGGATTGGTGCCAACCCCAGAGCTGACAAAGCATACCAGGCACTTCAGAATTAGCAGCTTCTGCCCCCAGCAGCCATCCCTCAGCTCCCAGAGGTACAAGCCTGGACCATGGAGGTGCAGCAGTATGGATCTGGGAAGCACCTCACTGCAAACAGCCAAGGGGGAACACACGGAACCTTGCCAAAGGGGGAATTTCACATGCTGCCATGGGGTCAGGGATGAGCTCTGGACCTCCTGGGGCTGGGCTCATCTTGCACCAGGAGGAACAGGCCAGCAGGAGCGAGGAAGCCTGGGGACATCAGCTGGGTATCCAGCCCGCTCCTGTGCTCTGGGAGATGCCAGGGACTCGAGTCAGGCTGCGTGCTCGGAGAAGAGCGCTGTAAAATCAAAGCTGCCGCAAAGGTCCAAGGTCCTTCCACCCCTCTCTTGCCATCAGCAGGAAAAGTAGGGACATTCCTTTTCTTTCATTTGAGAATAAATAGGTATTTCCTCAATGTGTTTGGGTTCAGAGTGAACACTGGAAAAGCAACGAGGGCAAATCACAGAGAGAAAATAGTAGACACATGCTGTACATAGGAGGCTGTAACATGGCAGCCAGGCAGAAAAAACTCTAGGTGTGCTTTTCTGTTAAAAAGCAAAGCCTAGTGACTAAAGCAGGTATTTCTGCTTCCTTCCGTCTTAAAAACAGGAACCACTGGAGAGTGTCACAGAGCCCCTGGAACAGGTCTGGATGGTTACCTGAATCTCACAGCCCTCGAGAGGCTCACCATGACTAGGAGGGCTGCTGGGAGGCAGGGCCACCTTGCAGAGGGCTAAGGGAAAGGGAGGAAAATATGAGCTTGTATGGAAGGAAGTGGAACTGCAAACAAAAACTTGGTGGCTCTGGTGAACTTTCACTATTCACAAACGTGCAGGTTACTCAGATGCAGTCCCAGGGTCCTTCAGTAAGTTGAGTGGAGTTGTGCTCCAGGTTTGAGCAGGAAGAAAGATGTAATTCAGGGTTTCACTGGATTGTTTGAGGTTAGGAAGGGACAGACATCAGAGAGCATCAAAATGCTCCCAGATCCTCACTTTCCAGAGCAGCCATTTAGCCAAGACAATCACAAACACTAGTAGTGCCAAATCATGGCTAGACCTTGGCCTGATGCTACAAATGTCTTCAAAGGGAAAAAGTCCTTCGGGCACTGGCCTGTGTCTAAAAACAGAACTCCAGAAGTTCTGGGGAGCCCCAGTGCTGGGCTGGAGGGACACCAGCTGTAGGTCAGACTGGTTTGGTGGCACTGCTGTAAAACAGACGCTCAGTGTCCTCTGTGGTGGAGAGGGTTGAGTTGGTAGCAGTGGCTGGCTGACGCCGGCGGCTGTTCTTCCTTTTCTTCAGGAAGAAGTAGCCGATGATGGCCAGGACAACCATGATGCAGATCCCGAGGAGCACAGCAATCACTACCTCAAAGGCACCTGCAGGGGTACACGAACAGGTTAGAAGGGCTGCTTCACAAGCTGTGAAGCAGCAGGAGTGGTGAGGAAGAAGAAAGCACAAAAGCCACTGCAGAAGCTGTGCTGGCAAAGAGAAGAGGTGGATAATAGCTGGCTTACAGCAGGGTGGTCACTGCACAACGGAGCAAAGAAGAAAGACAACTGCATGGCATAAAGATACAGTCAAGGTATAGCCAGCCTGTCTCTCCCAAATTATGGTTCCCATCATTTCCTAGATGCAAGACGCCCTCTAAAGGCTATTCAGTGACTCTACAGAATATCAAGCCCTTCCAAAACGGTGACTTTGCTTCGTATGCCAACACAGAGGCCACCAAGGGGTCGCAGAAAGCATCTCCTGGTTGGGATAAGGCTGTCAGAGCGAGCTATGGTGGGATAGGCTAAGTTTGTGGGGAAGAGTCTGTAGCAGTGCTGTGAGCACTTGGTCTTCTACAACCAACCAAACTCCTCTATCATCACTGGAGACTGTCAAATGTGATGCATTTGCGAGCTGGTGTGAATTTGCAGATTAAATCAAACTCTAGGGTTGAAGAACAGAAATGTATAATTTCAGGAGTTCTCTACCAAAGAAAGAGGCCTTACAGCTCTGTGGTGAAAGGACACCAACCTTAATGTGATAGTCTTTTAAGAACTTGTACTGAAATAGGTTTGGTGTTATTTACAGTTGTAGAGAGGCTATATAGTCATTGGACTTCCAACATTATTCACATGCCCGCTTGGTCCTTCTTTTCTGCAGAAGTCAGTGGTCCTGAGGCGAACTTGGCCCTTAGGAAGAATTTTACCTGCAATTTTTTGATGTTCAACAGTGGAACATTCATGCAAGTTGGTGGAAGGAGAATCAGGAGTCTCTGATATGAGCTACTGAGTCACAGACAAAGGAGAAGCTGGACCACAGATGCACAGCGCACAGAAGCCTCTCTTGCTACTGCTGGCATCTCACAAGTGCCACACTGCTCCCCCAGCTTCAAAAGGGGGATGGGAGAGAAGGCCATTATTTGTAAGGAAAGACAAAATATTTTTCAGAACAGGGTAAAAGCAACAAGCAAGATCTGTAGGAAAAATTGTTACTCACTTAAGAGAGCGCTTTGGGGCTCAAATGACTCCCATCTCCGACCAATGACATCTGCTTCTGAATTGGGAGCAGAGAGGGGGAAAAAGGTTTTACAAAGAAGGTTGGGAACAAGGGATAAGACAGGTTTCTGAGGAGCGTATTTCCAGTGACTGAATGGATACAACATCCCTCTTGACAGCCATGGTACTGAGCTCTCAGGGCAGGCTGTGGGGCACAGTGTAGCTGTAGAAGAACAGCAACAATTTGCCTCCTGACAGGTACAGTTTGGCAGAATCCCTCCTGTTTCAGCTGTTGGCCTCCACAGCCACACATACAAAGCTTACAATAGAAATTTTTCCCTCTTGTTTAAATCTTCTAATATGTGTCATTGAGGATTTTCTTAATTTCTCCTCTCCCACTTGGGGAGAATTGGAGCCAAACTAGAAAGATTCTCTTTAGAGAGGCCATACCATATCTCTGGTTACTTTAGTCATCCTCCTCTGTCCCTTTTTCAACATCAGCACCCAAAACGTTTTTCAGCTCTGAGAAACGACAGGCTGCATTGCAGAAAGATGCTGTAGATACACACCATTTCTCACAAGCCATCAGTCACACTGGAGAATGGTGTGATAGATGGCCAGGGTTTGAAAGCAGAGCTGCTTTGACTGAAAGCTCCCACATCGCTGCCTCTTTGGGACGACAGAATTTAATCTGCATTTCATCAGTAAAACTCCAGCCCTCACTATGCTGCTTACTTGTGATGCCTGAACACGATTTCATGCACTCGTCCTCTTTCTCAAAGTTATTGTTGTTGCCTCCACAGCCCCCATAGGTGAAGGGGTCACATTTCTCAGAGAATGGGTTGTAGTACCAGCGAGGGATGCTCTCCGTGCACTGTCCAGTGTCAGGCAACTCCACACAGTGGCCTGGCAAAGCAAAGGAGAGATGCTCCAGCCCGAGCAGAGCAGCAACGTTTTCTCTTAACAACAGAAGAGTACAAGCACTGTGGCAGAGGAAATCCATGGCCAGAACTGAGGCTGTTAGGTCCCTGCTGCCCAGTTGTCAGCTGCTCAAACTGGCATTGCCAAGGTGAGCTGCCATCTGCCCGTAAACCCAATTAGCAGGGAGGAACATCAGAAGAACAGCGTGCAGTCATGCTAGAGCTTGGATTCAGCCCCCTGCAGGAATGATCTGTCCTTTTTGGGAGGCAGAAGGGAGCAAGAAGAGCCTGAACACACAGAAACCACAGTTCATCTCAGGTCTCCTCACTTGGGATACACTCTTTTAGCCCAGTGACGGTACCACTGTTTACACTGGTACAAACAAGACAAAGATATGGGACTGAGCACAGGCATATGATTACTTGTATTATGCCATTATTGTATTATGCCATTGCTGTGTCACTCGCATGGCTTTGCTTGCACTGTTTCTAAACCCACCCATTTTTGGAACTATAGAGAGAAGCACTTTTACCATGAAACGAGAGACTGAAGAAGAAAACAAAAGCTGGCTGGTGTCAGCCTAGGTGCTCTGGATGGGACGTACCTCGTGTATATGTGACATTGATTTTCTGCAGTCTGTTGAACTCACGAGCATCTGCGAGAGAAACACTGCATGTTAAAACTTTTCTCACCAGTTGAATACAAAAGAAGTGCCTCTGTCCACGCAGACATGAGCAGACAGGGCTTTCCTGCATGTTCCACAAGCCATTATAATTTGTGGGTTTTAAATATCTCAAAGTTGTGAGAGGAACATGGGAAAAATAAAATGTAATAAAGAGAAACTAATTCCCAATTCCCGTTCCACAAATACAGAGACAAAACTAAGGAAAACAAAGGCTGCTTTCTTATTATATTCTTTACCATCGAGAAGTATGGGGAAACTGCTGTCACTCCAGGTTTTAAGAAGTGCAAAAGAGCACAGGTGTAGGATATGAGAGGGCAAGAGGGATGAATTGTAAGCTTGCAACCTAGAAAGGCAACAGAACACCCACATATAGGAAAGAGATTATGGGAATTCCATCAGAAAAGAGAGGGAAGAAGGAGGCATTACGGACTTGGGAAGCTCACCACTGTGCATTTACATTAGCATAACATTAGGATGGTAAGGGGACTGTGACACTGGACAGACTGGGAGAAATCACGGATTCATTTCCCAACTCCCAACTCTACGAGCGCAGGTGAGGTCATTCAGTGAGAAAAATATGGGAAGGGGAGGGGAGGACAAGCTCTGAAGTCTTACAGACAGGTGCAGAGAAGAGAGTTGAAAAGTATTTAAGAGGCAGGACACAATCCAGAGGGAAGATCAGCTCTTGCAGTCAGCAGAGATACAGGAGATGGCAGAATCTGCAAATACAACACCGCAGGAAGAGATAATGCAGGGTCAGCAGATAAGAACAGAAGACACCAAAAAGCATTGTCAACACCTGTAATTTACATTGCTCTCATCCCTGTGCAGATACTAAGTTGTCTAAGACAGAATTTGAAGTACTTACATTGTTCACAATACATCTCATCCGATCCATCAGCACAGTCAAGAGTTTCATCACACTCCAGATAGGCATCAATGCAGCAGCCATCCTTGCATTTGAAGAATGGGGGGTGACACTTCCCATTGCACACTGCATCAGAAACAGGTCAGATAGATTATTACAATTCTCCCTGCCACACAAGTGCTTTATGAAGGTCTTAAAAGCTGTTGATAGGGCTGGCAAACAAGAAACAAGACAGATTGGTTACGGTTTCTCTTCAGTGCCACACTGGACATAAATATAACAGCAATGTTTCATCTCAGAAGTACATGGAAAGTGGAAGCAAGAATGAGTTACTTGAATATGCCCAAGCACAGGGGATTAAATTAGGAAAACCAAACCAAAACCTGCACATTGGGCTGCAAGAACTGATGGAGGAGAGCAGTTATTCCCCTTTGCTCCAGAGATGGTCCCAAATGCTGAGTACTGTGCCCAGTTCCGAGCTTCCCAGTGCACAGAATACATTGGAATACTCAAGCGAATCCAGTAGACTCAGCAAGGGGCTGGAGCACAAGACCTAGTGTGAGGTTTTGGAACAGACAAGAGACAGACTCGTTCTGGAGGTGCACAGTAATAGGATGAGCAGCAATAGATACAAGTTGCAACAAGAGAAAATGATTCAATATGAGAGTAAAAAAGTTATGACAAAGATCATCAAACATTATCACAGTGAAAAGTGTAAAATCTCCTTTGGCAGATACCCAGAACTGGACTGGATGCAGTCCTGCACAACTCAATGTGACTCAAAGCTGACCTTTGAGTAGTGGGTTGGACGAGATGACCTCCAGAGGTAATCCCCAACCTGAATTATACTATGACATGAAAGTGAAAGGCTTAGTAAAGAAATTAGTCTCCAGTGCCTCCCTTTGCATGCTGAGTGAGTGCTAATCAAAAGCCACAGGAATGGAAGTGAAACACTCAGCCTGAGTTCAAGGCACCATTACACAGCGGTACAGGAGGCTCACCTGGCTGCTGTCGCCCACCAACAGAACCTGAAGAGACAAGGGAAAAAACAGAACAAATTTACCACCACACCCTTTTGTCAGCTCAAGATCAGCTTCATACTGCCCTCATAGCTCACCTAAGAATGCATGTATTCTGGAAGCAAGCCATGTACGGGTTAGGGAGGGGAAATACAGATGCCCACCACCCAGAGACCCCAGGTGAGTAGTACCCACATGAGGCAGGTGTGGAGGAACAGAGGGGAACTTCCCACCACTAGCCAGACCATCCCCAAATGGGAGTGAAGCACTTCTGGCTCCCCCACAGCACATGTGAATTTAGGTTTCAGATGTGACATGAGGATTTGGTGAGGATTTCTGCATCCAGAGACATACCAGGGACACTGACCAGGGGAGCAGTGCTCCAGGAGCTGGGTCAGATACATTGGCAGCGTAAGACTAGGACACCCCATCCATAATTAGCCAGGTCTCCTCAGCCCTCTGGGCTCTAACTAGCTGCCAGCCAAGAAGCTGTAGTACCTTGTCCATGGGGCCATCCCAATCCTATGGGAAAGAGGGGTCTGATTTCTGAAGACTTACCTCTAACATTCTTGCAGGCGAGTTGACACTCCTCTTCCCTTAAATAGTTATTCTTGTTGGGCTTGCAGCCACCAAAAATGAACTCCTCACACTGCTGAAGGCTCGGGTTGTAAAACCAGCGTGGAAAAGATCCCCGACACCAACCCACCTTCTTGGGAGTCAAACAATGCTCTATGAAGAAAGTTAACATAAAAGGCTCTGATTAGCTTGCTTTGCCTTCACATCTACAAAGGAGAAACTTTTCCAAAGGCCTGGTCTGAAAGAGTTATGAAATCCTGAGCAGCATGGAGAAGGTGAGTAGGGAATCCTGGTATATATTTTCTTATATGAAAGGCAGGATCAAAAAATCAAATTAGAAGGTGCTACATCCATAAAACAAAAGGAGCTGCTTCTCCACACAACACATAGTTAAGCTGTGTAACTCCTTGCTTCAGGATGCTGCTGCTGTGCAAAGATTACACAAGGTCAAAAAGGGCTATTAAACACAAAGACACCATCTTCTGCTTAGAAAAACCTCCCAGCTGCAAATTCCTTGGCACTAGTCAGGCATAGCAGGGATTTACTGATAGCATGTTATGCTCTTGTACCCTTTCCAGAGTATCAGCCTCTGGACACTGTTGAATGCAGTGTACCGGATTTTGGACATACCATTAGTGCCACTTGATATGGCTGTTCTTGTATTTTTATGGTACCTGTGGTAGAAGCAGAAATTTCCTGTTTAGCTACTAATCAACCATTTGTCCAAGAACTCTGTGCTCCTAATGCACTTGTGATGCTGAACATTTTGATCATTAAACACAGCCATTAAAGTAAAACATATAAATAAAGCCAGGGACGCTCTGAATGTCATGCAGGCAGCTCCACCTATCCTGCAGCTTAAGGAAATTAGGGCCTTCACAGCAAAACCATGGAGTCAACAGGGCATTGCAGGTTCTCCTCTCTTACACCCTCAGTTGCAGCCCAGGTTTCAGCCACCCTGGTGTCACCCAGCAGAGGGCATGACATGCAGAGAGGATGGGGTTGTTGTGGGCACCTCTTCTGCAAGATGCAAAGACACTAAAATAAACCACTATGAATGTGGAGACCTTCCACTACTGGTCAGGTGCAGGCTGTTACTGGGAAAGCTGACATACAAGTCCAGTCTCTTGGTTGTGCTCTTCTCTCATCTACTCCTCTGAGAAGAGCAGCACCCAGGTTTGGGGACTCCACCTAGACATCCAGGGGCTTAAGCTCACCTTCAGTCTGCTCAGAATTCAGCACCATGATGGTGATGTTGGTGAAGTCTTGCTGTTGTGCAGTGTCTGTGACAGTAAGCTGGAAGACGTAAATCCCTGCCTGTAGGTTGGAGATCTCTACTTGATCATCTTCGTGCTTCTGAGAATGCAAAAGAAAGGCTTATGCAGATGAAGTACCTCTAATGAGGGAGTGAGTGAAGCCACGCAAGGCCCATGTTCCTGCATGAGGAAGAAGGCAGCTTGGCTGGAAACCCCCAAGCAGAAGTCTGGCATGAAAGATGTCTCAGTGCTATACAATCCCCCAGATCCATGGGCTGGTACCCAGCTGGAATAGCAGTAAGAAAGAGTACCACAACTCTAAGTAGATATTTCATATTTTGGGGCATTGTGAAAGCACAAGGGAAAATAAAAATCTTTGGAGAGGACTGAAATACTTGTAGTTATTTTACTTTTTAAAAAATAAAACCTATTATGAATCATTTAGTATACAGAGAATAAACGAGGCATAT